AATCATTCTTGTTGCTCTTCTCTGGACTCTCTCCAGTTTGTCCACATCCTTCCTGAAATGTGGCGCCCAGAACTGGACACAATACTCCAGCTGAGGCCTAACCAGAGCAGAGTAGGTTGTTTACACTTGGAGGGAGGCCTTTGTTTTCAGCCCTGGGTGTCATACATTGAGAAGTATATTGCGGTGATCAAGAGTAAGGGGGGAGGTGGTACTTTCCTGGATGTCTCTTTGGCACAGGCGTGTAAATGCCGAGAGTTTGGAGGGTAGCTAGGGAGTCTTTACAGGAGTGTAGGGAATCGTCTGTGTGCTCCAAGAAGTTAAGTCTTCCACAATGGTTTGTACCTCATTAGGAAAACCTGAGAGGTGGAGCCATGATGCATGCCTCATGACCACAGCAGTTGCAATGGATTAGGCAGCAGTGTCTACAGAGTCTAACAAGGCTTGTAGGGCTATACGGGCTAGAAGGTGTACTTCCAATATTAGGGACTGGAATTGCTCTTTCTTGGCCTCTAGGAAGTCATGACAGAAATCCTCCAATTTGGAGTAGTTTAAGTAGTTAGCCATCAGAGCCTCGTAGGTATTCAAAACTGGAGCACGGCTGATGAATATGCCTTGCGTCCAAATAAGTTAGTCATTTCCAATCCCTGTCTGGATGACTAGCATGGGGTTAGTATTGACGGCCCTTCTCTCTTGCACCAAATTGACCACCAGAGAATTTGGGATAGGGTGCAAAAATAGAAATTCAGCATCGTTCGCTGGAAGGTAGTACTTTTTGTCGGCAGGTTTGCAAGTCGGAGGGATGGATGCTCGGGTCTGTCAGAGCCCTTTTGCAGAGTCTAGAAGAGCTTCATTGATCAGTAATACAATTCTGAAGGAAGAGGACGTGTGGAGGATATCAAGCATCTTATGATGCTAATCCTTGACTTCCTTCAAAGGAATCTGCAGGGGATCTGCAATCCTGCAGAATAAGTCTTGAAAATGTCATCGGCCATAAACAAGAGCAAGGGTTCCTCAAAGTCATCGATACAGCTTCCTAGCAAAAAATTTCCTAGCTAGAATTTCCTAGCAAAAATTTCCTCCAACAATATGCAGCTTTCCTCATTTCCCTCCTCCCAAAACGTTAAGAGCATTTCTTATGTGATGTTTCCATTTCCTACCAAACTAGGAAACAAAACACTGAAATCTGGGTGAACGTAATTTATTTGGATTATGATAGTGCCAATGAGACAGGCATCTATTGTAATAGTCTTAACTAATAATGGCCTTGGTTTTGCAGGGGATTGTAATCTTCGTATTATTTTTATATAGCTTTTCACATAATAGTATGATGATATTAACAATATCCTAAAGTGTAAACAGACATATATATATGTATAAAGGAGTCAGGAGTACCTTACTAACAGCTGCTGAATGTCCAAACACTTATCACTTGGGAAAAAGTCAACCAAAAAGATTTAAATTTACCAATTATTAATTTTCTTTTTCAGTGCCACAAAGCAGCTGTTCCACAATCACAATCATAGACATCCCATTTTGCTGAGCACCACAGAATGCCTTATGCTGATTGGGTCAGCAGCCTGTACGATCAGTGCTGAAGCAGAAAATCTGCCTTTGGGGGAAAAAGATAGATCTGTTTTTATTCAATATGAAGCAGTTTTCTGAATTTTAATATCCTCATTTTATCTTCTATAAAATAAGGATATTAAAAAGAAAAACCACTCAATATTAAATAAAAGTTGATTTACCTTTTCCTTGGAGGCACACTCAATACTCAGAGCTGAAAAGTAATGGTAATATGCCACCAGCTTTGTGTGTGCTGTGATGCCTCAACACAGTGGGAAGTTGGTAATCATAGGCTGAAATTTTGCAGACCTGTTAATGAAAAAGTAGTACAAGTTTAAAATATGTTGAAATGCCTGCTAATTATGTTAACACGGTTGAAATGCTTTTTCCTAAAGATGTTCCAGGTCACCTTTAACAACTTCATTGTCTTCAATCCCTATTGAAATGACAGTCCATAAAAGACAAGAGAAAACAAATAACACTAATCTTTTTTATCATTTCTCACTAACAGAAAATTACTTGCCAAAAATGCAGGTAGTTTACTGTAACCTACTTTATCTTAGACATGACATATAATCCAGTATCATAGTCTAATCAATTTAAAAGCAACAAACCATAATGAACAGGATTTTTCAAAACTCTGATGTATAGGAAAGTTGATCGTATCCATTCCAAAGCTATTTTCACATCCGTGATAGTGTGCAACACTATTTCTGCATTTAAATGCTCAACAAGATGTTTGTGCAAACTAGTAAGGAACAAAAGGTAAATCAATTAGAAATATAATTAAATTAAGTAAATGTTAATCAACATTTTTTACAAACAATATTAAATTATATTTTACCATAAATAGTCCACTTACTGCTGCTGCTTTTTGTTGTACTCAGTATAAAAAGGTAAAAAATACTTAAATGATGAAGAATTCAAGTTGTTTGTTATGGAATGGGCTCCAGTTAGCAAAAGAAACGGAGATTTTTGGTGTTGGCTGTTGGACATCACTGGCATCCAGGAAACAAAACTATCTATATTTACATGTTGCATTATATTCTTGATACTTTGGGAAATATCAAAGTTTAAGTCTTAACAAGATTTAGCTTATAAGATTTTCAATTTTAGCATTTAAATTCCACTGTAAGTCTGAATGTTCTTATTTTTAAATGTCTCTCACTCCCTGTAGGCCTTCCATCAATTGAGCATTATAGGCTAGCGTTTCCTGAATCTCTCTTGTGTCAAACTTCAAAGACATGGCCTGGGAGCTTTCTATGTTCTATTCTTGGTTTTTTGAATACTATCACCACATATCTACAACCAATTTCCTTTGATATGTTTAAGACAGAACTATAGACCTAATTCTCTTTTGTAGGTATCAGGTATGGGTAGCAACAGAGGGTCCTGTGGCACCTTTGAGACTAACAGGTATGGGTAGTATTCCAGCTGATGAAAAATACATGGAGCTCAATCTCCAAACCCAGAAACTCATTCAGTGTCATACTGCTGTTTTCAAGGAACATGACTTATACTTTAGCAGGGATCTACGTATCTACAGGCAGACATTCCAAAACAGGGATAACTTAAGAACCTCCTTACCCCACACAAAACCAGGACGCTAGAATGGGAACATCATTGGTATTAGGAACAAGACTAATCACTTGAAATCAACAGAATTTATATACCAAAAGAACTGGTGAGAAGAATTCACCTCTAACATTAAGCTGCTGACAGTAACTGAAGTAACTGTGAAGCATCTCACACATCCACTGAGACAATAGGCATCAGTATTTATGTCAGTGTTATGGTGTTGTGGGTATAACCCATCAGCTCCTTAGGGTGGTATGGCCCTGTAGCCCAAGTCACCAGGGCAAGCCTGGGCTTCAGGACCATAAGGCCTAGTGCCAGAAGTCTAAATAGCAGCCCTTTTCCCAGGGCAGCATGGCCCAATGGCTAGGGTCAGTAGGGCTACCCCGGGGTTCAGGATAGTAAGGCCTAGTGGCCAAAGTCTAAATAGCTGTCCTTCTCAGTGTAATATGGTCCAATTGCCAGAGTCAGTCACGTGGTCTCGATGTTCAGGACAGCAAGGCCCAGTGGCCAAAGTCTAAATAGCTGCCCTTCTCAGGGCGGTATGGTCCAATGGCCAGAGTCAGTTGGGCTGTCCCAGGATTTAGGACAGCAAGGCTCACTAGCCAGAGTCTAAAAAGCTGCCATTTGGTTCAAGGCAGTGTGACCCAGAGGCCAGAGTCTAAGCAGCTGCCCTTCGATTCAAGGCAGTACAGCTCGCGCCTTCGAGCGGTGACCTCATTGAGTGGTGGGTATGGTGCAGAATAAGGGGACTCAGGCCCAACCTACTCCACTGGGTCCCAACCCAGGGCCCCGAGGAACCGATTCTCCTGTGTTTAGGCTCGGTCTCTTTCTGCAGCCATTCCATTCCCTGCATCACTTCCTACCCTCACTTCCAGCATTGGTAGCCTCCCAGCATCAGCAAACTCTTTTCTGTCATCCTCGGCGGTCAACTGGGTGTCTGCAGTGGCTTCAGCGCAGTCAGCCTCTGCAGCCTGGGGCTCCAGCAGCTTCCTGACAGGAGCCTGCAGCACACATCTGCTCTCCTCCTCAGTCAGCCCAGACTGAGTGGAACTGCTCCCTCTTATACTGTGATTCCAGTTGGAGCATGCCCAGCAGGGATGACAGGGTGCAGCTTCCTTGGCCCAGAGCCTGGGATTAATCCCCTCCATCCCAGTGTGGGGTAGGTATACCCCATCACGTATGGGAACACTGCAAAGTTCATCTTTTTTTCTTGGACTACTGGAAAGGGAATGGGCTCAGGATTGGAGTGTTTGGTAGATATCTATGATGTTTTAAATGTACAGGATAGATGCCCAAATTACAGAATTTATTTTTCTCAATTAAAAACTGATTCTTTAAAAAAAATACTACAAGAAAGCTTCTGTGATTACTTTTTTGCACTATCTAAATATTGTTTGCTTTTCTTGTTGGTTAATATTCTCTCAGTCACTGAATAGATAAAATGAAGTTTCCACCTCTGGTGTACCTCTATATGATTTCCCCATAAACCTGTTTTTTTATAAACCGTGGGATGATAAGCCAAAAGAACAAGAAAATACATTTTGTTGGTTCTATCCATCAGTATGCTTGTAGCAAAATTACTTAGTTACCTGCTTTCTATTGTATCTGCACCATTTAACAGCTGTACATATTTCTCTCTTGTACTTAACCTAGTCAAGATAACTGCTGTAGCTGTAATGTCAAACTGAAAAAAAAAGTACTTTAAGATTTAGCAAGAAACACCTAAAATATGCATTTCATATCTTTGGTAACAATTCAAAATGTATTTTAAAAATGTTATGTTTAACCTGTTGAGGAATGCCAAGGCATCAACAACTGAAAGACAAATCCATTTGCACATTGAACAGTACCTGAACTTTAAAAAAAATAATTGTTTGCATTTGGGCTGGCGCTACTAACCTATTTGCTGTAACACGCATATACTATAGACAGTATTAGGATCAATGAAATTTTGCACAGTTGTTAAACAATACTGTGCATACACAAAAGAGAATCCCACTTATCCTGTGGACAAATACGCATTTGGAAAAATCCATTAACCTCAGTCAAGTGATTTCCACATCCCACCTCACCCAAGCTGCATGTCACCACCACAATCCTTCTGAATGAGAAGGACTGGAGAGAATTCACTTTGTAGTCGTTCAATGCACTCTGCAGTGCTGGACATTAGTCTTATGATTAGCGAGATTGTCAATTCCTCCCTCAAGTGGGAAGCAGCTCTTAAATGAATGATTATTAAACACAAGCTCAGAAAACCAATTCTTGACACTGATAATCTCATTAATTATTGCCAAATGTTAAAAAGCCTGGAAATGAACCATTAAGAGATACACCAAGTGCCCTACTGACTTCATTACTCACTATCAAGTTACCTCATGTACTCAGCACCCAACCTTCACTTTCCCTCTTGCTTTGTTCAGAATTGGAAATATAAAGCTAAATGTATATTGTTAATTTTTGTATGGGAATTTTCCAAGTTTTTTCATTTGGATCAGTGTATATGGTACATATGAAAACAGCCCTGAATCAAATAACTCTTCCTAATTCAGTATAAGAATTTAAGCACATGCTTAAAGTTAGGCATATGCTTAAGTATCTTTCTGAATCAGGACCTCTAGCAGCAAAATCATGTATCTTTTTTTTAAATGGCCAAAGATAAGAAAGAAGAATTATTTATATGTACAGTAATCGGAGTTCTTAAAGATGTCTTGTCCACATATATATTCCAGTTATCATTTATGTGTGCTCCAGGAGCGGAGTCTTTTGTCCAGCAGTGTCCATTGGGAGGCACACATGCCCAAAGTGTTCTCATGCCCCTTACCAACAGCATACAGGGCAGAGCAAGCCAACCACCACAGAATTCCAGCTGTACAGGACTCCATAGCACAGGGGAAGGAAGCTGGATTGTGGAATATACTAATGGCCAAATTCTCAAAGAAGTGAAGATTACTTGTAACTAGAGTTCTTTGAGATGGCTCCGCTTATTCATACTTATGGGTATTGCGCCTCCTAGTGGTGCCTAATAGTAGAACCTTCTCCAAGCAGTGTCTGTTAGAATGCTCACGCAACCCTTCCTACTCCTCCTCTCCGCATTTCTTAATATTCTGAGGATGAGGCTATAGAAGAGGCTGCAGCGCCCTCTACCACCTGTGTTCCTTCCGCCACCATCCCAGAGATACAGAACAATAGGACCCTAAGAAAGAGCAGAAGACAGGAAGAAAGTGTGAATATGCAGAGCCATTTCAAAGAATTCCAGTTACAAGTAAGTAATCTTCATTTCTTGTTCGAATGGCTCTGTGTATTCCCACTCACGGGTAGTTTTATAAACAGTACTGAAAATAACCTAAAGGAGAGAACAAAGTCCTAACTGAATAGTGACTGAAGCACTGCTGTGACATCTAATGTCTGCCCTGGAAGCCAAATTGAGAGAATAATGTTTACTAAATGTGTGAACATAAAAAACGGTTACTAACCTTTCCACAACTGCTGTTCTTAGAGATGTGTTGCTCATGTCCATTCCAATGTAGGTAGGCATGTGCTCATTCTGAGCATAGCCACTGGAAAGTTTTCCCTCAGAGGTATCCGTTAGGTCGGCTCTGGTGGCCCTTGGAGTCGCACACTCAGCACCGGTATAAAAGGTCCTGCTGACCCACAACCCCCTCAGTTCCTTCTTGCTGGCCAACTCCAACAGAGGGATAGGAAGGAAGGTCTTGGAATGGGCAGGAGCAACACATCTCAAAGAACAGTTATGGAAAGGTAGTAACTATTTTTCTTCTTTGAGTGCTTGCTCATGTCCATTTCATGTAGGTGACTCTCTGGCAGTTGCAAATGGAGGATTCAGAGTTTATTGACCAGCTGACTGCAACACTGCTCTGCCAAATCCAGCATCATCTTTAGCCTGTTGGGTGATGGGGTAGTGAAAAGTGAAAGTGTGAACCGACAACCATATTGCAGCTCTACAAACGTTCTGGATAGGAACGTGTGCTACAAATGCTGCCAAAGATGCTTGGGCCCTTGTGGAATGTGCTGTCAGGGCAGCTGGTGCAGGGACCTTTGCGAGGTCATAGCATGTGCTGATGTAGGATGTGATCCACAATGAAATACTCTGGGTTGAGATGGGAAGACCTTTCATCCTGTCTGCACAGGCCATGAATAGTTGAGTAGTTTTCCAAAATGGCTTAGTCCTTTCTATGTAGAAAGCCAGTGCACATCTGATGTCTAGCGAGTGGAACCTCTGTTCTTCTCTGTTGGCATGTGGTTTTGGATAGAAGACCAGTAGGAAGATATCCTGGTTACTATGGAACTGGGAAACCATCTTTGGAAGGAAAACTGGATGAGGACGCAATTGGACCTTGTCCTCGAAGAATACCATGTTATGGTGGTTCTGAAGTAAGGGCCCAGACCTCTAAGACACTTCTGGCACAAATAATGTTCACCAGGAAGGTCACCTTCCAGGACAGGTAGAGCAGAGAGGGCTATCAGGATGACCCACGCTTTGTCCTTTCTGATCCTCAGCAAGACTTTGTGTATTAGAGGAATAGGAGGAAACGCATAGAAGAGATGACCCGTGTAGGGAATAAGGAAGGTGTCTGCAAGAGATCCGGGGCTGTTACCCAGGAGGGAACAGAATTGGAGACACTTCCTGTTGTGCGTTGTCACGAACAGATCCATTTGGGGAGTTCCCCATCTCTGGAAAATGGTGTTCACAACATCTGGACGAATCTGCTGAGGTGATCCGCTAGCTCGTTCTGTGATCTCAGCAGATAGGAGGCCTGGAGTGGATCGAGTGCGTTATGCAGAAATCCCACAAGCGAAGTATTTCCTGGCACAGGTGAGAGGAGCATGCTCCTCCCTGCCTATTGATATAAAACATCACCATCATGTTGTCTGTGAGAACTGACACATCTTGCCCACCAAATGGGTCTGGAATGCCTGGCATGACAAGCAAACTGCTCTGAGCCCCCAGACATTGATGTGTGTAGCGAGAGCTCTTCCAGAGACCAAAGGCTCTGAGTTCTGAGGGAACACAGAAGAGCACCCCAGCCTATCACTGAAGCATCTGTAATGAGAGACACAGATGGTTGGGGTCAGCAGGTTTAACCACCAATTGAGAGAGGTGATCACCGACAGGGAACCGTGATAACTGTGTCCAAACAGTGTCGGTTTGACGAGTATACGGACGCCAGCCATGCCTGGAGAGGTCTTAGTTGAAGTCTCACATGCTGCACCACTTACGTGCATGAGGCCATGTGGCCCAGGAGCTTCAAGAAGTTCCTCGCTGTAGTGATGGAGTGATCTCTGAGGTTCTCTATAAGCAGCACCATTGCTTGGAACTGTGCTTCTGGCAGGAAAGTTCTGGCTTGGACAGAGTTGAGGATCACCCCGATAAACTCTATCCTCTGAACTAGGGAGAGGGTAGACTTCTGAACGTTTATCAGCAGACCCAAGTCCTGAATATTGACTGGATTAACTTTATGTCAGACTCCACCTGGCCATTGGTCTAACCTCTGACCAGCCAGTCACCAAGGTAATGGTAGACCCGAGCCCCTTGTCTCCTCAGGAAGGCTGCAACGACCGCCATGCACTTCGAGGGTTGCTGGCAGGCCATATTGGAAAACTGCAAATTGGTAGCGCATGTGGTTCACGATGAACCTGAGGAACCTTCGGTGTTCCTGAAAGATCGAGATATGGAAGCAAGCAAGCAAGCATCCTTCAAATCAAGGGTGGTGTACTAGTCCCCAGGATCCACGGAAGGGATAATGGAAGCCAAGGAGACCATGCAGAAAAGACGGTTACTCACCGTTGTAACTGTTGTTCTTCTAGAGGTGTTGCTCATAACCATTCCAAACCCGCCCCCCGTCCCCACGGTCGGAGAAGCCTGCAAGTAACAGCACAGGGTGAGG